CCCCAAAACCCCAAAACCCCAAAACCCCTTTTTTCAAATAAATTATTGAAGATTAAAATTTAAAATACTCTAGCTCAGGGCCTTTTGGCTGTTTATAGTTGATAGCAAAATGGCTTGGTTTATAATGCTTTAACTGGTTTTGTGTACTGAGACTTGGGTAAAGACAGATTGTCTTCTCCTCTAATACATGAATCTTCTCTCGTAAGAAGCTCATGAATCTTTTCTCCTTACCTTGCTTGACAAAGTTGGAAACTCCGCTGATGAAAGAGTAATTATTAGGATTTATAGAGTCTGTTCCCTCTGAATTCTTCGACTCGAAACTTCTCTCTATCTGGCTAGAGGAATCATTAAGATATATGAAATTCTGCGAGTATTCTAACTCTCGCTCAATTTCAAGATCATCATTTTTATCCTTAGTGTTGTCCTCATGATCATTAATTTCAACCATAATCTGGTCCTTCTTTAGTGTTGGTTTTTCTACAAACAAACTGTTTTCATAATAATGGCTTGAGCTGCACTGATACTTATACATGGAGGTCTTGACTCTGGGATCAGCCACTTTTGAGGAACTACTCTTTGGTCCTGTATTAGGGCTCATCACTGAAGTCCCGTTGGGAGACCTAGGGTTTGTTTCAGGTGAAGTAAATGGAGACGAGATCGAAGCATTTTGCCTTCTTGTTGGACTAGTTGGAAAAATTCTGATAGTCTGGGTATCTGCAACCCATTGTGGATTTCCATCAGACCCTTCCTGTTCGACATACAAATCTTCACGATTTGGCAACTGGATGAAATTTTTTGTTTTTATAGGAGCATTTGAATTCTTGGGTACCAACATATTATTTGTATTGTCAATTTCAAATGAAAAGTCTTCTCATTTTCCTTCTTCCTTATCCAAGTTTTTATAGATCATTTCAAAATGGAGCTTCATCATTCTGCTGTTGATTTGGTCAAGAATACCGTCAGCTTCCACAACTGAGATATCATGCCTTTTATTACAAACTGAGTTTTCTTCAATGGTGCTATAAATGGAACTCAAAGTTTCATCAATTGCCTTAGATGTATGGGTGTACATAACTTCTCGAGGTTGCTTCTCCTGATGCACAACTTCTCTGTTATTTGAGGTATGAGAGCCTTGAGATCTCTCTTTATATTCCTGCACAACCTTTGGTTTGGAATTTACCCTCTCATAAGAAGTTTTACTTCCAGATTTTCATCTCTGAAATGAAGAAGCGCTAGAAATCTGACGATTTTTATGCCTCTCTTTTAAATTTTCTCGATTTTGAAAACTGTTATTTAACATCGTGCTTGATTCAGACACAGAGTTGGAGATCTTAGAGCCTCTGCCTTGCTTCTTCCTCTGTCCTTTACTTGTAAGGACAGCTTCGTTCTTGGCATAGTCCTTAAACACAGGTTTACGGTTTTTAGCAGCACCTTCAAATTCAGGCTTAATTTCCATTCGAATCTTCTTCCTGGTTTCTTTACTCATATGAATTTTATTATCGAAGAAGATTTGTTTTGAGCTACTTCCTTCCTCAATAGTTCTTGATGAGAAGCTATGCAGACTCATCCCCTCTTGGATATGATTGCAATCATAGTTAGGCGACTTTAGTTGCCGATCTCTCTTAGACTTCTTTGGCTCCGAGAAGTTTGTATCGGGCTGCGTGGAATACCTCTTGTCTCGGAATTCATTAGCCAAGTTATATTTCTCAGTTACAAAGTAATTGTTGTGTTCAAATTTTAATGAGTCATGCATATTATGCTTCTCAGAGTATTCTTTCTTGGATTTTTCTTCGCTTTGTTTATCAGTCTTGCTAAAAGTATCAAGGTAGCACTTGTCACTCCCCTGAGTCATTGGGGATTTAAGAATATCTTCAGAGTCATTTGATTTGATAGAGCTTCGTTTATAGTTGAACCCAAGGTTGTACCCTTTTGCTATTTCATTATTCACATGGATCTCTGAGTGCTTTTCCTTTCTCTGTACTTCCTGAGGTGCTTTATACCCTAAAATTTTAGTTCAAAATTACTTTTGGTAGTTTTGATCAAGCCAGAAGAGTCTTCCTTACTGCTAATTCTAGAAGTTTCTACTAACATTTACCTTTTTAAGACGCTATAGCCTTCCTGTCAATAATGGAGCCTCCTGACTTTTCATTCTTAATGTTGGAAAATGACTTGCTCTGGTGTGAAATCAAGGTGTTATAGCTACTTGCATCAATAGTTCCAGAATTCTTAGTAGCTTTCCCTTCTTTCTTCTTCATTGTCATTGATAAAATATTGCTCTTGGATTTTTCAGCATCTTTCGAGTTACTCTCAGCATGAGTATTGTCATTCTCTATCAAAGATTTTGTACTAGTAGGAGAGATTGGATTTCCATCTTTATTCACCAGATGATTGTCAGCCTCACAGTTTCTATTTTCTTTAGCCAATTTGCAAGCTTGAAAATTATCAGCTGGAAAGTTCCCAGGAGTGCTATACTTAGAGATAGATGCAATTGCTCCTATCTTTTCATTATTTATTGCCATTAACTTTCCAATTCTGGTGCCTTTCTACCTTAGTAGAGACCTTCTTGCTGCCTGAGGAGTGGTCGTCAGCGTCATTATTTGTATTCCCACTTTCATCAGACTTCTTAGAGCCAAACATCTTAGGGTTATTACTCAGGCTTCTAGTCCTCTTATTGTTCTGTGAATGTTGTCGAACAAACTGAATCTTTTTCTTATTAAATTTTATTGTTTGCTGAGAATTCTTCTTGATCTTGATAGTGCCAATGCCTACTCCTTCATTGCTGGAGTTCCTATTTGATAACTGCCCACTTTTATTTGAACGACCACGGCTCTTCTTCAACAAGGGGCCACTACTTTTAATGTTAGCTGGGTTTATGTTAGTAGCTTTAGCTCTGGATTTACTGAGGATATCTTTTACTTGCTTTTTCGCAATCTTTAGCTTCTCTGTGATCTTAGAAGAGAAATTTGCAGGCACCTCTTCGTGTTCCCTCTCAGATGAGCTGTACATTTTGTATCGATGATGGTTGTTTTGTTGGTGGCAGAGATTCCGACTATGATCGTTCTTCATTCTTTGGTAAAATTCTGGTTTCTTGCTTTCATCAATTTTTCATACTGGCTCTTTAGGTTTCACCTGAATTTTAGGTTCACTTGATCCTTTCTTAGCTTTCTTCATTGAAGTCCTCTCATTACTTCCACTAGAGATGGAATTAGATTTGATCTTTGTAGTAGTGCTGTATTTTCTATCTCCAAAATGAGTTCCATTTGAGGAAGAATCACCTTGCGTGCTCAATATATTAACAATACTAAGTTTATTATTTCATCCAGAGTCATCACTTTTAAAAGCTGAGCCAATGCTCCCTCCAGCATTCACTTTCCCTTGACTTATAACATTCTTTCTATCATCTTGGCTCACTCTGTTTTTCTTTTTGACTGCCTAAAAATGTCAACTATATTTTTCCAATCCCCAAAATTCTAAATAATTTCTGAAGAACCCAGTAGCAGCTGCTAGCCAGCAGGGCTGCTGACTGCTAAGCTTACTTTGTTCATTTTAAATAATTTAAATTTTCATTTTGGAATAAAATAATAGGGGTTTTGGGGTTTTGGGGTTTTGGGGTTTTGGGG